ATTATATAATCTGAATCTACACAAAATGTCGTATAATTCAGGTTGAACCTGATATCCTTTTAGAGTAATATCATTCAAAGAGACACCTGACGAAGACTTTGAGGAGGCATCAAAAACTACCCGCAATTTAGTTGTGCTACTGGACTCATTAATTACACATAAGTGGGGGATAAAATATTTGTGTAAATTATTTGCATTAAATAACTTTAAAGGCACATATTTTGCATGTCCAAGATCGAGATACTCGTCAATAAATTTTTTGTATTCTGAGAATAATTTTTTGTTAGATTGTAACCGTTTTTCAAGCGACAAAAATCGTTTTTCTGCAATTTTATAAGAATCTCCTAATTTTTCAAATTCGTCTGGTTTTTTAAAGGGCATATCGACTTGGAAAGAACCATTTTTTAAGATTTTTGTAGTCTTCAAAAAAATCTCTTCAGCCAAAACATCTTCAGCTGACATTATAACTTTTTTAGGCATTTCCTCGATATCCCAAAATCTTGTCAATAAATTGTCGATTTCTTGTGTTGGTGTAAATAATGATATATTAGTTTTGAAATTATATAATTGGTTATTATTCTCAGTAAGGAATGTACATCTAGAAGGTACATTTCCAGCTATTATCCATCCCAAAGTTGTTTGTACAAGAGTAGGAAAACCATTACCGAGGCTACAATAACCTTCGGTTAATAAAGAGTAATAAATATCAGCTCCAATGAGCATATCAATTTGTGATGGACTATAGAATGATGGATCTGCTAAATTAGTTTTGATTTTAAAAGGAATACTTAATTTTTCTACATTAATCTTTACTTGTGGAAGATTATAGGTTATATTATCCAAGATTACACAAGAAATTCTATATTGTTCGCTTCGTAATCTTGAGAAAATAGTGACATCAGTCATCTTATTTGATGAAATACTATTCTGAGAAATGCTGGATATATTTATATTTCTATCATAAACATCACACTGTAATTTATTAACAAGTGAACTAGTAATAAAAGAGCTTTGGCTACCATTGTCCAAACGAACTTTGGCTGAAACCATGTTTCCATTTTTATTAAGAATATTGACTTGAGCTGTAGCTAACAGTACATGTGATTCCTCTAAAGACAAAGCTGACAAAGTTAGGGAATCTTTGGAGTTTTGTGTCGACTCAATTTGTTTATTTTCATTTTTTAGTGATGTATTTTGTTGTTGTGGAATAGGCTCAGAAGATCCTGGAATTGCATCTTGATTAGTTTCTACATCAGGAACATTTTCAAAATAATTTATTGTTGATGTTGCAAAATTTTTCCTTTCAATTTTAGATTCGTTTTCCTGATGGGATGCACTTCCAGACTTCTCTGATGCATTTGTATTACGATTATAGTTATGCAATAATGTATTATGTGGTCGATTACAAACACTGCACTTTGTATTATAGGTGCAAGGACCTGAATGTTTATTTAAACAATTAAAACATAAAACTTTTGCGTTAACTAAATTCTGTTTATCTTGAAATGACATTTGTATAAATTTTCTACAGTGAAAAAGTTTGTGATTGCCATAACCACAAATATAACAAAATTTGTTATTTTGTTTATTGTCATCCTCTTATTGACTCGAAAAGAATGAGCCTTTTTCGTACCTTCTTTTGTCATTAGTATTTGTATTCTCATTTTTACGTTTATAAAAACTGTCACCGCTATTTAAATTTTCATATATCACACTCCTTTTTTCTAAAAATTCAAAAAATTCATCTAAAGTTGGTAAATTATTTATATCTCTTCCATTTTCAAAGTCTCGCTTTGTCGAAAAGTCCAATTTCTTTTCTAATATAAATATTATAAAATATTCCAACACTTGTTTGTCGTTCAAATTTAGTTTGTTGAGAGATTCTAATGTTTTCCTTTGATTTGCTACAAAATCCCTCAAGTTTACAGCATTAGATTTAATCAAATTTGGTGATTCCAAAATATTATTTAAATAAGTATTAATTACACATGTTAAATTTTCATAACGTTTTTTCAACAAATTAAATGCAATATCAAAATTACTTCCAATAACCTCTAGAGAATCAACCAGCTTCAAAGCCTCCCCTTTGAGGGCTGATTTTAGATAAATAAGTCGTTGTATGTCATTTAAAGATCTGTTATTAATAATCAAAGCCGTGAAAACTTCACAAAAAGATCTCCACTCTGAAATCTGCCCTTCAAAGAAAGGAACTTTTAAATCTGGCAATTTAACATTTGAATGTGTTTGTGTTTGCGGATGATTAATAACAGATTGTTGAGTATTCTGGCTAATGTTTTGACATAATAACTCATCAATTTTGTCTCCTAATTCTGCACAAAGAGCATAATATTTGTCTTCAGTTTCATCTATCTTTTCAGGATCATTAGGATCAATGGATTCAATTTCGATTTGACACTCACTAAAATTTAAGAAAGCTTTTTGAAGATTTTCTTGTCTATAAATAAAGTCTTTACTTCTATTGCAACTGTCTTTATTATTTCTAAACCAACTCTCTATCCTTGTTATTGAACCTTTATGAGAAGCTCTTTGTTTTTTTAATTTATCTATATCCATTTTTAAAAACCTATTCAACTAAAAATCAAAAACACCAGCCAGAAACAAATCTTTAAATTGAATGCAATCAAAAATCAAACTATAATAAAAGGTATATTTCAAAAAAAAAACTACAACTAACCTTGAAAAGGTCAAAAACCTTTTTTCTCTTTTGAATTCCAGAACTTTCACTGAACACTATGTTTTCACTTTTCACTTATCGGCATCAGGAACTAGCCTTGTAGATCGCCTGCCTTTCATCGAAGGACTTTTTTTGAATTGTTTTTCGAAGGACCAATTGTTTTTTTATTTTTAATTATTACCTGTCACGTTCAGGACTTTTGTACACACACTCACACAGACTCTTTATCCGGCTCGACGGACCAAATGTAAGGGATCCAGGTACTTTGGACCCATGCAATTGGACCTTTTGCTGCTTACATGTTTTCCTGTAAATCCATGGGCTTTTTGTTGGTGGTTCAAAAATAAAAGAGAACTGTGTGGTGTGTGCGTTTATTGTTTAATCCTTGTTGACAAACTGCTCTTAAGGACTAATCTAAACTTAAAACTTGCTTCTGGGCACACGTTCCACTTCACATAACAAAATGGCGGTGGATATGATAAAGGCTGAATAAATAATTCACAAATCAAACTCTTACTTCCTATTGAACAGTATTTGAGATACTTGAGGTACTTGAGGGAGTCTGTAGCACTGTATTTGTATGTTAAATGTATTTTTGTTTTATTGTTTTAAAAAATATTTCTCGGACTATTGCGCCGGCAGCAGCGTGACACATCAACTCTGCATGGAGTATATCTGAGCACTGAGACTGCCAGATTAAAATCTTTTTAATGCGGTCAAAGGGATTTTTTGCAGACCCAGTCAAGCGGTGTCAGGCCGTACTAGGCTAGTCGATTTATAGCCCCTGTTTATTTTTCGGGTTATTTTTCAAGATAAGCATGAATGGAATAAAATCCGTATTTTGGGACTATTTTGATTATCAAGTTGAATTTATTTTAAAATTATTTCTGTTTTCCCAACAAAAAGTAAACCATATTCCAAAATTAAAAACCAAATTAAAGACTGGATTATAAATAGTAGGCTATGTTTTCCATTTGTTTAAAATAAAGAAAAATAAACTTGCTAGCTTTTGTGATAGTGAAATAGGATACTATATTTGTTTTTATTGTATAAATTTTCTATAACATTGACTAATTTATCAATTGTGTAATATTTGGTATGGTATGCACACACAGATTTTTGAAAAATCCATTGTGCAACCAATAAACTCCTAGGAGAAAGTAAAAAAAAATCCTGGAATTTGTGGAAATTTTATTGTGAGGGTTTAATTTTATTGTTAATGTTGTTTCCATATGTAGCACAGTTATTGAAGAAATTGTAAACTTGAAAACTTAATTGTAAACTTGATCCTGGAATAAAATATTATTATTATATTATTATTCAACAAGGATAGAGAAAAATCACGTGACTTAAAAGTGGTATTTTTCTCCGAATGACAGTAAAAGCGGCCTTTTAATGACACTTGACAGGATCAAAAGTTGTATTTTTACTGCCTAGGCATTAAAAGTGACAGTGTCACAACGTTCCAGGTAATAATTTCAGTCAATTTGGTATTTGAAATTGATGGTGACAATGACAATTGTCAAAATAATTTAATTATTTGGATAATAATAATGAATGAAATAAATATAAAAAAGATGTCCATGTGTGAATTTGAACATTCGGAGAAAAAATTATATGTTTTACATGGCAGAAAAGCAGATTTAATGCCTCAGGTGGTTTCCTAGCCTCGGCTATGAAACACCAGCCTCAGCATTAAATCTTGTACTTTTCTGCCTTGTAAAACAAATAACTATTGTTGGGCTTTATAAGTGTACTGGTTATAAACTTTGTTATAAGTGTACTGGTTGACAACAAAGCTTTCAGATTCAATATTAACATACAAGAGCAAGGATTATGGAATTTTCTACATAGCCTATAGCCCTTATAGCAGCTGTATTAATGAATGAAATAAATATAAAAAAGATGCCCATGTGTGAATTTGAACATTGGGAGAAAAAAATGATATGTTTTACATGGCAGAAAAGTAGACAAGGCCTCGGCTGGTTTCTTAGCCTCGGCATTAAATCATGTACTTTTCTGCCTAGTAAAACAAATAACTATTTAGGTGACCGGGCTATACTGCATATTTATTTAGGGGAAAAGTGCATTATAGCTTGGTTGCAAATAAACAGTATTTTCAGTACAATTTTAATTTGTGATTTTTCAATTGGAAATATCCGCCGAAACATTCACTTCAAAATGCACTATTTGAATGTTAAACAAACGATTCTATTCAAAGAAATACTATTTTAGGTGACCGGGCTATACTGCACTCGAGACTGCACTTTTACCAAAAAAATAAGTAAATTTTTCTCTCACTTACCCCCAAAAGAATAAATTTTATGATTCACAGCAACTGCAGCATGATTCACCCTCTTGGGGCAACCCTCGATGTGAGCTACCCACCTCATAACTTGAGCCTCCGGCTACCAATGGATGGATATTATTTGAAGTTTAACACACGAAGAAGGTTGTTCTTGCACTAGGTTTTTCTGTTGGAGGTTGGAGCTGAGTCTTCTTCTTGTAGAACGACGCCAACTTTGTATATTCGCTGATTTTGTAACCCAATTGTCCAGCTAATTGTTTTTCGGTTTTTACCGGAATAGGTAACTAATATTAAATTTTGCGAGATCAAAAATGCTCCATTTCATTTTATTTGCCCTTCCAACAACTTGCAAAATGAAACAGGAATTCTATATTAATTTTATTGTTGTGATTATGAACATGACATCAACGGACAATGTACTTGACATTCACGCTTCTACACACTACACACCGCACCAACCCACGAGACGAAAATTCTATCTTAGCACGAATCTAGAAACGTAAATGCGAGTTGTTGTTGACAAAATTAAACACTCCGCAATAATCCCTGATCCCCAACCCAACCAAATACATTATCAAATTACCACTTCTACGCTCTACCACTTTATATTAGAGGTGGGTTGCGATTTCACGAACTGTGACTTTGTCACTGCTACTCGTCTGTCACGTCACAGTCACGGCCTGCTCCAGGCCCAGACAAGTAGGAGTGACATTTTGTCACTGCCTGCTTCAAGCTCCGACCGATGCAGCGCGGACAATACTCGAGCTAAGTGATCCAAACGAAATAATATAATATTATAAATCGCATCGCAGTCACGCCAAATAGAAACTGCTACTGCAGAGGACAGGCTGGAAACTGGAACATCTCTCTCGGCCGTGACTGGTGACTGTGATTATGCCATGTTGCGATGTAGCATTACATTACCATATTAGCAGTACGGCCGCCAACCAAAGTAAAACTGCTCCAAAAAATCACTGCTATTTGTCACAGTGACACGACTGGAGCAGTCACGTCTTGTCACAGCTCCATTAAAATCGCAGATTGGCCCACCTCTACTTTATATACCGTTCTCTCTCCTTAACTGAACGACAACAAAACAAACTAGCCCATTCCACACACCACACGACGTATTTTTAAAGCCGTACTCATAACAGCGAAATGCGCACTTTTTGACATTGCTTTGACAATTTGACGTTTTATACACGCATAAAACGTCAAATTGTCGAAGCAATTGTCAAGTATGTTACAGGAGTTTAGGGGATTTCATTTATTTATTTATACCAGCAAGATCTGCAGCAAGTAGACCTAGACGCCAATCTCGGAGTAGGAAACGCTACTCCTGTTTTGAATAAAGCATTTTTTGCTATGAGCGCATGTCTTCAGGATACAAATGATAGCCTCATTCCAATGAAATCATTTATTAGTTGCATTCCTTTCAAGACAAGAGTTTAAAACACTGCTACTCGTTCCGGTGTCCGTCGCCCCCGAACGAAGAGATGCGTTTTTCGAAAAGGAATAAGCGCTTAACGCCCCAGAGCTGTTCCGGAGGCCGGAGCTCCTCCTAGGTGTGAAAGGAATACAACTATTACGTCTCACTATACTATGAACCGGCCCTTGGTGGCGATTTAATTATTCCAACGCAGTGCGAGAAGAGAGAGCTAGTTGTGGCAAAACCTTAAACACAACGGGATTTGACGTGCTTGTTGTTTTTGTCAAGCAGGTTGTCAACATTAAGTAATTCCGATCACAGCCCACAGCCCCCACACAAACACTGTTCGAGAATATGGTCAGGGCCAGTCTATTAGTGAATAGTTGTATTCCTTTCAAGAGCTTGAAACACTCGAGCTACTCGCTCCGGTGTTTAGTCGCCCCCGATTTGCAGGGAACAGTTGCGTGGTGCAACTAACACTTTTCGAAAGGAATAAGCGCGTGAAGCCCCGGAGCTGTTCTGGAGCTCCTCTTAGGTATGAAAGGAATACAACTAATTGTCATTGCCTCATTCACTTTGTGGCGACACGGATCTCATTTGTGTTATTTCGGTATAGAAAAGCGTTGAAATTTTAACAATTTTTCATATGACTCTGACTCTGGGTTACAATCTTACCCCGAGTGCGCATTGTGTGGCACGGACAGGTCATGTGGCACGCGGAGCAGCTATTTTTGAATTTAACGTTATTATTGCATATCTTGGCTTGCCCCTCGTGTCGCTCCGATCTTAAATTCTTAAACAAAATAATTCATAATTTTGCAAGACTAAAAACGAATTTTGGAAATGAATCTTTCATATTTCTCCCCGGACTTTTTTGTATACCCTTCGTCTCTGTTCGAGCAGACTACTGAGCCGCTTTCCAGTATGCACATTGGCGCGCTCTGGCGCGCTCTAGAGCACCTCGGGGGCGCCACGCACTAGATTTGTACCGTTCCAGAGCCGCTTTTCAGTGCCTAAATTGTTAGAGTATCATGCTCCTGGAGTGTGACGCACTTGAACTGTTCCACACAAGCAGCACTGGAACGCTCCCGTCTTAACCCCCACCATTTCGCACTTCAGGAGCATGAAACACCAAAATAAAGGTTGGTGCACGAGGGGGCAGGGGATAACAGAAATGAGTAGTTCAAGTGTACGACACTCTAAGCACTGGAACGCGCAAAGTAATTGTGGAGCACTCCTGAGCTGCTCAGGAGTAACTCAAATGGTTCACTGGAAAGCACCTCTGTATCGTGACGTGAGAAGCCCGTCTTTGACACTAGTCGAATATGTCAAATTTTTTGAATAGCTACTTACGATCAAGCACTTTTCTTACCTAACTTAGGGCGGGTATTATAAAACTACTTTGAGAGTTAACTTAAAGTTAACTTCTGAAAATACATGTAATTCAAAAAGTTAACTTCAAGTTAACAGTCAAAGCAGTTTTATAATACCCGCCCTTAAAGAATCTAACTTAGTTGCGCGTACGATCTATCACAACTAAGTTAGAATCTGCCTTCCCCCCTTACCCATGCCAAGACACCCGGATTTTTAACTGAGATAACTTAGCTGACGTAAGTTGGCGCGAAGTACGCATTTTTTGAATTTTGACGTTTAATAATTTCTAAATAGGGAACTTTACAATTTTTTTTTTATTTTTTTAAATCATTTATTTATGCCTTGAAAGAGTATTCCCCAAATATTATTCCCTAAAACTCAATAATAACTTGGTGAAAAATGTTTAAAGTTTCGTGCGAATTAAAAGCATTTCAAACGACCTTAAATGCGCGCGAATCTGGATGACGTCACGTAGTATGATTTTGCGTTAAGCCGGCACCACACGATGTGTCCAACCATTGGCCCCAACGTTAGGTCCAACGTTGGGTACAGTGTTTTTTACTCTAGCATTCGGCAAATGTATCCGATGAGCGCTCGGCTACACTATGCCACAAATCGCGCTATGTCCAACGTTGGAAGGCATTCGACACATCGTGTGGCGCCGGCTTCACCTTGTCGTCAAACGTCATACATTGTATTTAATTTGGTTGATTTCCACATTTTCCACCGTTAAGCTTAGTACTCATAACTGCGAAATTCGCATTTTTTTGACATTGCGTTGACAATTTGACGTTTTATGCGTGTATCAAACGTCAAATTGTTGAAACAATGTCAAAAAAATGCGAATTTCGCAGTTATGAGTACTAGGCTTTATTTGTTTTGTTGTTGTTTTGGGTTGCGGCGAGTTGTAAATTTTTAAGTTATAATGGAAAAAAAGATTCGCACATACTTATTACTTTTGTTACTATAAACATATCACAAATTACAGATTGGCGGATTGGCCTTTGGAATTTTCTTCTTCGGTCATAATTAATAGTTATATCGTTTTCTTTATATAATGCTAAGAGCTAATCATTGAATTTAAGCTAAGTAAACCAATTCTAATAATGATAAAATTTTAAAAAATCAGAGAAAAACGTAAATAAACACAGCTAACGGGTATTTATTATGTAGAGTTCGAGTAAACGCTCGGAGTTGCTGTTTTGTTCTTTTATCCGTGTTCTTCTCATCATAAGAAAAAAAGACGGAAAATGCTCCGAGCGCTCAGTGTTTCAAGACGAACTCACGGTATGATGGACAGTTGCTGACAGACACTGACAGATCATACTAGATGACGTCACGACCAGTACCAGAGCGTTTTTTCCCGCTGGAAATAATTTGAATTTTTCTGCATTTTTAATTTCTTATTGTGGCCATTTGCGACAAAAAAAAATTGTTTTTTTCGCTGATATAGGTTTTAATTAATGTATTCTTATGATTTATAGTAATATTTTCATGTTTAAATTTTTTGTCAAGTTCCCTATTGAGATTGTTTCTTTATTTTTATTTTGTTGAAAGTTGGTCGTTGGAACAGGAACTTTGAAAAGGTGTTTAGTTTAATGAAATTTATTATTCATTATTGCCATTGCACGCGTCATGACACTTCTAGGTAGATAATTGTTCATTTTTAATGTGAAATAAACTGTGCTGTAGTACAAAAACAATTCAGTTTCAATTTCAATTGAAAATAAATTAATAAAAACAACAAACTGAACCTGAAACTCTCGTCGTAACTAGAACCCGAACTAGAAATACGTGACGTGAGTCGTAACTTGATAGGCAGCTGATCAGCCTATATGAATTGCGCGTACGATCAAACAACTTAGCTCAGCTAAGAAACTAACTTTAACTTAGGTAAGAAAAGTGCTTGATCGTAAGCAGCTAATATCTGTTTGTTTGTGCAGTTTGTTTTTTTATTTATCATAAATGAAAGAGAATCAAAACTATATTTTCTAAAATGTTGAATCTTGAGATATAACAAGAAATAAATAAATAAATAGCCACCCACGGATGTGACAGCTGACAGGTTGACGCGTACGTACAGCTCGGGAGCTCAACGCCCCGAGTAGCTCCGGGCGTCACACTCCCATACTGGAAAGCGGCTCTGTATTCCTTTTATACATCGAGCTCCTCGGAGTCACTCCAAAACACACACAATTCAGATTTGATCAATATTTTTTAATATTAAAATTACCGTCATTTCCTAAAAGGGCTTCTTCAACCCACCGCAAATTTGGTGCATCAGGGGAAAGGGGGATGCACTATGAGTGACAGTGGCGACGCGTGACTTGCAGTCTGGGGGGGGTAATGGGAAGATGCGACCTCCCGCTAACGCGCCGCTGGCGAAATTTTTTGCCAATTTCAAGGTCATTCACTTTTCCAGAACAATAATTTCCTTTGTGAGGAAAATAAAACAAAAAAAAATGTATTTTCTTTAATATTATTATGTATTTTTTTTTTGGGCATCGTGATTTTTCCCTTGAATTTTGGATCCTGGGGGGGGTAATTACCCCCATTACCCCCCCCCCCCCCCCGACGCGACGCCCCTGATGAGTGACTCGAGTGGTTAACGCACTTCTAAAAGGAACGTTCAAGCTTTTGACATCGAGTAGCTCCGAGTAATTCAACGGGTAAAAAAAATACAGTACATAGCGTAAAGGCTAGTTTGGCTTTGCACTTCACGGAGCGGAACGGTATGAGCATGGTTATCGTGACGTCATAAGCAGAGTGCTCCTTGAACAAAGTCATAAGCCGAACACGTTCTTGAGCCGAACGCAGATCGAAAAAAATCCTGAAACCCTTATCATTGTCACTAATCTAAAAAAATAATGTTTTGTACAGACTTATATAACTAATAGTTAACAGCTGGCTCATTTCTGCAAAGTGATTCTACTGTTTACAAAAGAAGCTGTCCTGGTTCAGAAAAGACACTTTATAAAAATACTTTACTACTATAATTTTTTTTTTTTTTTTTTTTACGGATATGCGCACTCGCAAGAAAATGTCCTATCACGCTCGAGAAGCGGCGAGTGCGCGGAAATGTCGGTGTATGTTGGTCTTGAAACGGTTCAGGTTGTAACCTGCAGGAAAAACCGTCGCAGGGAGTTTATTCCACAGCGATGCTGTTCTCCAGAGATATGAATTCTGATATAATGAGGTTCTTGGTGCCTTTAGTTTGACAGTAAATTCATGGTTACCGTCTGTTTGACGGGTTCGCCTGGTAGGCGCTACTCTCGGTGGAATCATACGTGCCAACTCTTCAGAGCATTTTCCGTGATAGTACCTGTAGAAGAGAGATAAATCGCCCACAGACCTGCGATGT